ATCAATATCTTATAGTCTAACCAAAAGTTATTTAATAGTAAATAACATTCTCGTAAGTAATTATCAATCGATAATAGTAAGTTTAAAATACATAAATAATATTTATATCTTCAAAATGCATAAATATATATTTAATGATTATAAAAATTTATTCCACGTTATTTTATCAAAATATCTCGCTTCACAAAATTATTCCTATTTATCCCACTAGCAAAAATTTATTTTATTTTAACAATTATCCTATTTTACATGAAAATGTCCTAATTGACTTAACACCCCTCAGCATTATGTTTATCTGGAACGGCCGCGTATAAAAGCAACCGGCGTAACAAAATTATCAGGACGGTCTTAATAATTCATAACAAACCATACAGAAATGCGAGAGAACGGAATCTCACGGAAGAGGCAGAAAATAGTATTTATTTCCCACAAAGTGCACGTGGCAGGCGGCAGCCGTAAAGAGTGAAGTTAAAATACTTCAAGTTAAAGCCAAGCATATTGATATCACCACTTCCTTTTATACAAAATCCACACCCTTAAATGTTTTGATGATCAAGATAGAAAAATAAAGTTATTTTAGCCGGGGAACTGTAGCCAATAGTAACTTGCGTTGTCTTTGGAAATATTATGCTATTCGATCTCAGTTATATTATAGGCGATCAGATGTGCAACGTTAACACAAATAATAATTTCAATTTGAATACCATTGATCTATAGAATAATGCCTGCATTATTATTCTTATGAAGACTATCAAATTAGAGGTGATATAGATGACCCAAACCAGTCCCAAATCAAATACTAGAAGAGGAATAAAAAGTGTATTCATTATGGACCACTAATTTGAGTTTAATTATTCTAATGTTGTTAGTATATATCTGAGATACTATATAAGCAGTGCGAGTGAATAATATGAAAGTGATCATTTTCTAAATGATTTGAAGTTAACTTGAAGCCTAACATTAACATGATTTCTCTCATTTGTTATTTCATTAGTAAGTATGAAATAGTTTTTTACCTGTCAATTTATAAACTCTAACATCTCAAGAGATCGGCCCTCGTATGCATTCTCATGTTGAACGATCTAAATGTTATCATGTTAATTGTTAATTCTATTATTATTCATTATGATTTTTCGTAAATACAAGGTAGAAACGCGGCACACCATACACGAGGAACTTTGTATTATAACAGGAAACATCATGTTCTGAAATAATCTAGTAAAAAGAACCGGAGTGGACTATAGAAATCGAGAGTGGTTATATCAAATCACCAAATAAACAAGAGAAAATTATTCAAGCCGGTGACGGTGAAAGTAAAGCAATAGCATTATTATTATTATAAACTTTGGGGATTAGAATCTTTTCTCTCTCATGGACCCCTTTGTTACTTTGCGTCCTGCTAGTTTAAACCGTGTCGTGTTTCGCGATATATCGGTGAGATGGTTGTTAGGGATGTGGACTTTTCCCTCTTTTCTTTCTTTTTTGTCTATAATGGGGAAGGGGATGGGGTATTGGATTTTATTACAGTGGGATCCATGCCGCCCTTGATAAGGTCCAAAGTTAATAATAATAGAGAGAGACCCATCACAATCCCAATCCCAACCCCCTTTTTTTATTAATTATTATTATTATTGATATTAGCATTGTTGACATAATAATTATTTAGCTACTAATGCTCTTTGTTACGGTACTCGTGCTACTAATTAAGATCATGTTACGTGTGCATCTTGTTGAGGTAAAAAGACTTTTAACATGTGAGAAAACTACCTTTCTGTTAAATTTCTAATTGGATTCGGATCCTCTTCACTATCTAAAAAGTAGTAGATGGACCACTACATAATCACAACCATTGATTATCTAGTTGGTAGTTGTGATTTTTTCTTTGACTGTAAATTAGGAATGTGTGCAATACACGGAGGTATGGTGGGTATTAGATTTAGATTGTATCATAACCGTCTAATAATTAATCAACGATTGAGATTAAAAGTACTGGTCTCTCCACTACTTTTTTATAGTGAAGAGGATCCAAATCCTTTATAATTAGATTAGACCCGCATGTTCTGCTGGAAGCTTTTTCATGTATGGTAAATTTAGTGTGGCTGATTTGACTAGTTTACCGAGGGTCATTTTGGACCTCCATAATCATGGGAGGTTGATCATTGTAGTAGTTTTATACGGAAAGATTGGGCATACTGTTATCTTCATGCTTTATTTTGATATGTAGGTGGAAGGAATTTTGCAATTTAAATTTGACTTCTAGTTGAGGTTGAGTTAATTATAGGGGTCCACTAGATAGGGGGAGTGTTGGTTACCATGTTGCTTTGCTTGTTGGAGATTATTCTCCTCATGTGAAGAGAGGAATCTTATCTTTTAATAGTTATAGGCTCCGTGAGTTAATTCTTGGATTATCTATTTATGAGGATTATATTTTAACAATTATGACTTTTTAACTCATTTGAAAATACAATTATTGAGCTTGTGTTACAAAACAACCCAACCATATGACAGATACAACTAAGCTACCATAAGTTACTTGAAAAATTAGGTACGAGTTACGGTCTCGTTCTGCATACATACAAGCTGAGTAAGGCTTGAAATATGCTATGCTTGCTCTACATATTGAGGTGGATAATATCCATATTATCTTCTAAATAAGGAAGATATTTTCAATATTTTTGTTATGGTATTCCTATTCGTCAAAATACAACTCGCCAAACAACGGGCGGGTGTATTTCTGCAAGAAAAACCCCAACCAGTTTGGTGGCCCAAGCCCATCGGAGGTCCTAACTTGGCCGACTCGTCAAGACATTCTTCGTGACGACTCGAGAGGCGGAACCCGTCGACCCTCTTGTCGAAGTCGACTCGTCTGGAGCCCATTCAACCTTATATTCAAAGCCCTACGAGGATGACTCGATGAGCGTTACTTCTCGGCCAAACTGCAGGATAGTATATGCCTCGGGCTTTTCTCCTTGACCACGTGTCAGCACCGCGGTCAACACTGGACATGTATTATCATAACCCTAGCCCTGATAGTCTTCATGACTTGTCATATCACATGGGCTCTGTCATGCCGCCCATCACTATTCATTCGATGCTGAGATGATCTCTCCAATATGAAGTGATCTTCCCCCCAACCACCTGCTGACACCCGCAAAGAGAATGCTGACACAACCATCAGCTCATACCTCACCATCACTATTTCGTACTCGGCCAAAGTGTATGATCTGCCCTTCTCCCACAACATAAATACATGTACTATTCACCTTTAATGAGGGGGAGGGGGCAATTCCAAAATAAAGAAACAGAAGGAGAACTCTAATTTCTAATGTTTCTCTTCCACTCAAGTTCATCATCTAACTTGATCATCGGAGGTACAACTGGGGAACCAATCCCCATCCTCTTACGAGTTTCTACATGTGCAGATTGTTCAGCAATCCCAATTCAAGAACCAGGCATAAAATTGGAGAAGAAGATGATCCCCTCATCAATCCTCTATCTCATCGAAATTATCCTGTCCTGGATATGTATTGACTGTGTGATCACTAGGAATCAACAGTTTGGCGCTCACCGTGGAGCCTCCTCTCTTTTTCGATAAAATATGTCAGGTTCTAAACAAGGGCCTGATCAATCTCATCCTGTATCTCAACTCTGAAGTTATGTCACCCAAGCTAAATGGAGTCCGAAGTTGTGTCACTCAAGCTAAGCAGAAAATGGTTTTGACTGAGAGGAATCGACATTGTCATCTTCCTCCATAATCTTATCGGCCATTTTGGGAGTATCTGCCGAGTTAGTCATCCATAGGATGGAAGATCTCCCATTACCTTCAAAGCTTCCTCAAGAAAATCATCATAGTTGTCTTTTTGGAAGAAACAACTCCGGCTCCAAAATATCTTTCTCAAAAAGAATTTCATCACAAAAGTTGCCTAAGCTTCTATGGTCGAATCATGCGACCCGCAAGAACTCGACAAGAGAGACCTGTACGTAGCCTTAGAAGAATCATAGCCAGACGTTCATCGACTAAAAAATCCCAGAAGAAAGGACTGTCCAGCATCCCCGAGACAAGTGCTTGAGGGAATGTTCTTGGTGAAATTGTACAATTTTGTTCATCAATAATAAAATAGTTATTAAGCCAATGTCGACTTATGACTTCCATTTTGGCATAAAAAACAACCATAAAATCCCTTGGTATCTTTTCAGGAATAAACCCAAGCCACTAACCATATGGTCGACTCCCACCGTCGTCTCTCAATCATTATGGGGATCTTGAAGACCCAGATATCTACGTAAGACCTGGGCACCTAACCTCTGGGTAGTCATTTTCCTTATTCTACCCCCAGGGCGGCTCTCTGTAGGGCGAAAGACCTAGTCGACCTCAGTAACTCCTAGGCACAACCTCAAGGTTGTAAAAGACCTAGTCAACTTCAGTAAGTTCTAGGCATTCGACCACAGAGTTGAATTAAAAATGCTCAGTACCTTTTTAGGAATAAACCCAAGACACTAACCATACGGTCGACTCCCACAGTTGTCTCTCGACCATTATGGGGATCTCGAAGACCCAGGCGTCTACGTAAGACCTGGGCACCCAACCACTGGGTTGTCACTCTACCAAAAATCCCTTGGTACCGTCACGGGTAAACCCAAAGCATGGAGTTCATATGTTCGCTCGTCTTCGATAAAGAGACTTAGGCATATCTGCTTACTATTTCTCATCGACAAGACTTGGACATCTCGCCCACTAGCAGCATGACATGAGTCAGTCGTCTCGATCTCAATAGTTAGGTCGTCTCAATACGATCGACTCATGACAATCAACACTTGTTCCAATCGGAACAAAGCTACAAGCTACAAAAGCAAAGCAAAAAAAAACAAGGAATAAAAGAAGGCAGACTCTAAGATGAGCAAAACCAATCTTTATTCTAACAAAGTGAGTTACAAAGCTTTTTTTTACAATATCCATGCCTAGTTTCAAACATGCATAAAAAACAAACAACAAAACAAACAAAAATTAATGCCAACGGAAAGAAAGTACAAATACATATCCCTAGACCTCTCGACCAGATTCGGGGGTAGGAAGCTCTCAACGGCAACGAAGTCCACAGGAGCTTCGGCAGCAGCAGTTGAGGAAGTGGGATAATTCTCTTCAGGATCATCCCTTAGCTCGTCATCACCCCCAACGTCCAGCGCTAGATCCATCCCGCCTTAATTCTCCTCGATCTCCTCTAAGAGATCAAGGCAGCAAGAGACACGAGGGGGATAATGGCGATCGAGGGAAGGAAGAGAACTAGAAGGCAACAGCGAAGCAAGATAGTTGGCGCCGGCTTTGCAAGCCAAGGCTACCTCAGTTTTGCCTAAGGGGTCATGGCACCACTCGTCGACAACCTTCTTCCTATGTTGCGCCAAGTCTAGATGAGCAATCTGACCCTCTAAGTCCTTGATAATCATCGCGGACACTGAAGGCGACCGCTCCTCAAGGTCCCGCCTCAGCTGCTTGATCAAAAGACGGCTTGATTGAGCGTCCTCCTCGGTCGTCGCCTTCACACGCCTCTCGGACTCAGCCTCCCCGGCCAAAGCGATTAGTCGGCCATCCTGCTCAGAAATCCCTTGTTGAAGACGATCGACTTCTCCCTTTAACTGGGTCACCTCCCGCTGGAGATCATCAATAAAACCCAAGTGTTTGGAAACTTGGATTCTATAGCCTGCTACAAGCCTCTCCTTTTCGTCCAGCCCCCGCCGCCAGATGTCTTCCCTACCTCTAAGTTTGGCCTCTAAAGCAACAATTCTATTCTCGACTTCTTCCCTGGCCGACTTCTCCTGAGCCAGCTCGGCGTACCACCCTTGTGCCGTCTCATGCATGTGCCTCATTTGCTCGATCAACTCCTGCTTTAGTAAAGCCCCTCAGAACAAATAGTCCTTGAGGGACAAATGCACGTCAGCGCTTGGTATTTCCCTCAGGAGCCTCTTGTCCTTCGAGAGGGTACATTGGGATACAGCGTCGATCGGAGCAGTTAAGGACAGCATGACTGAGGACTATGCATCCATGGGTTCCTCGGGACAAACATGTCGCCTTTGGAACCTCTTCCCTAAGCGAGCCGGGGGTCAACGGATCTCCCACCAACATGGTCCACGTCCTCTCACAGGATCGGTGAGTAAGCTCATTAAACCCATGGCAGAATAGCCAAAACTTACTCCGCAAATCTGCCCTCTCACCCAACTCAGGCCCTTCCGGAGACGCTGTTTGCTCGTCAACACCCCCGGACGTCCCGACAGGATCCTCGCTAGGCTTGCAGAACTGTACGACCAAAGAACTCGACACGAGTGTCTCCTCGACACGGTCCCCCGAAACTGCCTCCTCGATAGTTAGGCCCACCCCCCTCTGTTGTAAGAGGGGAAGGGTCGCCCACAGGGATGACCCCATTCTGTCAATAAGCTTGGACAAACCTCTACCGACTCTCGACCGGTTGCGGCGCTTCAGCTAACCGTTGTATCTCATTCGCGTCAACCCTTTGTATCTCATTCGGGTCGACCCTTGGCCCACTGGACCCTTGATCCTTTTTGGCCTTCACCTTCTCCGGCCTCCATTCTGCCAGTAGGGTGGCGACCTTAGCCACCCTCGACCTCAAGCCGGTCGCTTCTTCAAGATCAAGATCCCCCTCAACCTTTTCTAAGGCCAAGAAGCCAAGCTCGATTCCCCCTCCCTTGAATTTCTCTTAACACTTTTTTTGAGGGGGAAAGCAAGCAGACCTACCCTTGCTTGGTCAACCAAGGAGGGAAAAATCACGGACGCTCGTCGACCGAAGAGAAGCCCTTTTGAAAGCTCCTATCCCGGGACCCGACATAGAGCAAATATTGAAGAGATAAACTCAGGATTCAGGATTGTCAGGGTGGCGGTCGACCAGCCCGGTCGACCGCATTCGTGCACAAGGCTTCCTGTGCGTCTGGAAGGAGATCGGTCGACCGGTGCGGTCGACCGACGGTTCTCTGGAGTTTGGGTTTTTCTACTGAGAGCTGGTCGGTCGACCGGGCCGGTCGACCGGAATTGATCGCGGGCTTCTATTCTAGGAGCAATTGGAGAGATTGAGAGTTGATTGTTGAGGGTTTATGAGAGATTTGTAACCCTAGTTTGTTCCTCTTGATTTCTAATAGTGAAAACTCCCCCCTCCTTGCCCCGTGGACGTAGGCATCTTGCCGAACCACGTAAAACTGGTGTTTGGTTGTTTGTGCTGTTGATTTTGGTTGGTTGTTTATCTTTCTTGGCGATTGTTTTGGTTTCTCGAGGCACAACAATTGGTATCAGAGCTCCGGGCTACGCTTGGGCTATTTTGGAGGAGTAGATCGCTTTGGAAGTTCATCTAGGGCTTCGTTTGGTGATAAAGGTGGGATCTTTTCAGTAAAAATCTCGTCTTTTTCAATTTGGATCTATTTCTCGTTTGTTTCCGCATTGGTTTGGTGGTGCTTTGAGATATATGGCTGAAAAAGATAAAAGTGGGGAGGGTTCTTCTGGTGTGAAGGCCGTCCAAAGTTTGAATATACATTCTATGAAAATAGATGTGGAAAAGTTCAACGGCACAAATAATTTTGGACTTTGGCGATGCGAAGTCATGGATGCGCTAAATGCGCAAAATTTGGAAGATACATTGGAGTTGGACGGGAAACCGGCCGACGTTGATGAAAAGGTTTGGAATAAGATGAATAGAACGGCGTGTGGTGTGATTAGGTCTTGCCTTACCCAAGACCTTAAATATGATGTGATGAATGAAACTTCGGCAAAGAAGATTTGGGAGGTCCTAGAGGGCAAATATTTGACGAAGAGCATCGAAAATCGTTTGCATTTGAAGAGGAGGCTTTATCGCTTCCAATTGAAGAAGGGGACATCTATTAGTGATCACATGAACCATTACACGAAGCTACTTGCAGATTTGGCGAATGTAGATGTCAAGGTTGAAGACGAGGACAAGGCATTGTTGTTATTGAGTTCCTTGCCCGACGAGGAATATGAGACCTTCGTCCTCACTCTTATTAATGGAAAGGCATCACTTTCGTATAGTGAGGTCACCGCAGCCCTTGTGAATTATCAACTTCGAAAGAAGGACAAGGAGACTTCCATCGAGCCGGTTGCTGGTGCATTGGTTGCAAGAGCTAGAAGTCCAAACCGTGGAAGAAGGTCGCAGTCTAGAGTGGGGCATCCTGCAGTTGGTAGGAATCAGTGTGCCTTTTGTAGAGAGGATGGACATTGGAAAGCCGAATGCCCAAAATTGCAAGCTGTGAAGAATAAAGGGAAAGCTACTCAAGCTTCAGAGGTGAATATTGCCAAGGCTAGTGGCGATGTTTCAGATTCATATTCTTCGGGCTATTCGTGCCCAGCTCTTCCGTAAGTTGATGTTGCCGACTCCACTGAGTGGATGTTGGATTCTGGTGCTACTTACCACATATGCCCTAGAAGGGATTGGTTCTTCAGCTTTCAGGAGTTGGAAAGAGGGGATGCTGTTCTCATGGGTAATGATCACAGATGCCCTATTGGTGGTATTGGTACCGTTCGGATTCAGATGAGTGACGGGATGATCCGGGAGTTGGCTGATGTGAGGTTCGTTCCTCAACTGAGGAAGAACATCATTTCACTTGGGGTATTGGAGGCATCAGGCTATAGGGTGATCTTGGCGGATTCTCGCTTGAAGGTCACATCGGGGTCCATAATTGTGATGAAGGGAGTCAGGCGGAGTAACTTGTATTATCTACTTGGGAGCACGGTAGTTGATAGGGCGCTGACTACTTCTATGGCTAGACTGTGGCATTGTTTGGTGCTGGGATATATTGTTGGTTATACCGTGCACAGATTGTTGAGGAGTGCTATGACTTGCAGATTGAAGTCCTGTGAGCACATTGGTATGAGCGAGAAGACCGAGGTGGAGTTCAGCACTTCTATCCATCGATCGAGAGGTCTTATTGGAGGTGTTCAGTCAGGCATTTGGGGGCTTTCCGAGGAGGCATCATCGGGAGGTAATCGTTATTTGGTTTCCTATGTTGGGGATTGTACTAGGCATATTTGGGTTGCAACCAAGTCCCGTTGGTATAAAGTCCTAGTAGTCCGCAACAGTTGGAGGAGGTGTATGGACAGAAAGGTTACCAGTCGTACTTATTCTAGTAGGAGTCCTTTCTTGCATTGGTGCCGAGCTCACGGCAGTTGGAGACACTTCAGAGGGAAGGAGACAGTGGGGCGACGTGATGAGATGGCGGATTTAGTGGGCCGTTCTTTTCTGGAGGAGGATCGGTATTGGTTGTCGAGCAGTGGATCTGGTATTCAGGCTTCGACAGGTTTGGGTCATCTTATGTGGTTGCCGACTGCTGCGTGTAGAGTTGTTAGATCTGGTAGAGCTGCTTTAGATTTTGGTCGGCGTCGGATATTTGGCTACCCAGCACTTGGTCACATCGTTGATGTGAGGTTGGATCCGATTGCGCAGTTGGGATTCAGGAGTTCATTTGGCTATCAGTTGGGAGCTTCTGAGTTTGGTCTGAGCAGGTTTGTCACTTTGGACTCTCGACAGGTGGAGAGTATTGATCAGGTCAGAGGGATATCGCAGCGGGTGGAGGTTGATGCTACTCCACATTGGGTGGGGATTTCCCCACGTACTCCAGGTCATTCTGCATTGGTTGGGATTCCAGCTGAGGTGGCACAGCGTGGGAGTCATTTATGTATGGGTGCAGATGATGAGGTAGTTGATTTGGATGCAGCTGATGGATATGTTTTGGATACGGTCATTGTTACATCTCAGGTGGAGGTGTTTGGATCGCTTCAGTTTGAGGTCGTTGATGATGCCATCAGCCGCAGGTTGGATTGAGGGCCTTTGGAGGCCCATATGGTGAACTACGTGAAGGCTTGATTCCTTGGGCAAGAGGATACGTAGGCAGTCTTTATGATGCAGCCGATTTGGTGAGCGACATCGACATTTGGGGAGAGTGTTCGCACTCCCATTTGGGTCTCAGCAAGTGAGGCATTTGGTGTAGTCGGTGTAGGCTCAGTTGTTTGGTGAGTAGACACAGTTGGTTTGGGGTTGAGTGTTCGCACTCCCGTTTGGATCTCGACGTGTTGTGATTGGAGTCCGTTGTCATGAGTCCGTTGCCATGACGTACTGGATGCAACAGTTGAGGTATTGGTTTGATCGGTGTCGGCTCAGTTTTGGAAGAATCTTCGCCGAGGTGGAGACGCCGCTGCGGTTTTGAGTTGGGCCTGTTTTCAGACCCGCTTCGTTTTGGATTTGTATAAATACCCATTGGGTGTTTTTTTAGGGTAAGTGCAAGGACGAATTTGAGCAGATTGAGAGAGTTTTCTTTGGGCTTCTATTCTAGGAGCAATTGGAGAGATTGAGAGTTGATTGTTGAGGGTTTATGAGAGATTTGTAACCCTAGTTTGTTCCTCTTGATTTCTAATAGTGAAAACTCCCCCCTCCTTGCCCCGTGGACGTAGGCATCTCGCCGAACCACGTAAATCGAGTGTTTGATTGTTTGTGCTGTTGATTTTGGTTGGTTGTTTATCTTTCTTGGCGATTGTTTTGGTTTCTCGAGGCACAACAAATATTTGCCAGTTGCCTCCTCTCCTCTTCATCAAGAAGACACGGCCTTAGTACATCCTTGGCCACTTTGGGCCAATTGGGGCAAACAAGAACGCCATCAGCCCCGAAGACCCACACAAAATTCTCCTTCTAATCCCCGCTGGGCTCCGAAGCGTCTGACACAAGCTTAACAATCCCACTATAGTAGAGAGAATAGTGTGGGTCCTCTTTCTTCGAATTGATGCCGATCAAATGTCCTAACAGCCGTATAGTCGGCGAGACTCCAACACGATGGCAAATAACGACAAAGCCCACCAGAATCCCAATGGCATGAGGGGTAAATTGGGAGGGGGAAACCCCCATAGCAATGCAAACGTCACTGATAAAGGGATGAAGTGATAACTGTAGACCATGCTCAAGATGAGCAAGGTAAAGCGGTTCACGGTCCCCGCCATGGTGTTACACGGGTTTGCTCATACTCAGGGCCCCCAGTATAAAAGCCCTCGAAATATCATAAAGATTGTAATATGACTCAAGCGTCCCCATCAAAACCCTTGAGCGGATGTGCCGGAGAAGAACAATCCTCTCCTCATTGCGGCTTGCGGTGGAAGTTGGGGAAAGCATTGAAGAATTTGGGTTGCAAAATAAACTTGCGGAATTTCAGAGAAGCGCATGAGATTTTTTGGAAAAGAACTCGTAAAGAATTCTTTTAATTCCCCCAACGAGCTATTTATAGCCTTCAAGAGACACATGGAGCTATCTGAGTGGTCGCTACTTTTAAAAATGAACGGGCGAGATTCATCTCGAAATCTCAAACGGTTCGCTCAAGATTCAAAGCAGCATTCATATTTACTCCACACCTCTTTGCTCGAAAAATGAAATGATGTCGTTATTCTAACAACTGGCAGCATCATTACGTCATCCTCAGCAGTGATGTTTCGTTGGCCCAATAAAGGCCTCTGGAAGCTCGCTAAACAATGTCCGCTAGGCAAAGTTTACCGGGCCCTGATCAACCCGCCACAGCCGCCAAGTTGACTTTAAGAATATCTTTCGGGCAATTCATCCATATTACTCAGATGCTGAGTAATGAATAGCCGACTAGATAGGTCTAAGACTTAGAAAAAATTAATCCTTCAAAAGCTAACTTACTCAAGTTCGAAACGCCTCCTCTTTATAGAGGATGAGTCCTCTCGGGTAAATGATTAAATCTACTAAGTCCACATTGGAACTAAGTCATCCGGCAAAACATTCTGAGATCATGCAACACAGAGAAGCAATTCTAGAGTGATTCTTTATTATATTTCACTCGAACCTAGCTAAAGTCGACTCCAATTAAAACGGGCCAACTATTATGGTATTCTCATTCACCAAAATACAACTCGCCAAACAACGGGCAAGTGTACTTCCACAAGCAAAACCCCAACCAAGTTGGTGGCCCAAGCCCAGCGGAGGTCCCAACTTGGCCGACTCGTCAAGACATTCTTCATGACTACTCGAGAGGTGGAACCTGTCGACCCTCTTGTCGAAGTCTACTCGTCTGGAGCTCATTCGACCTTCTATTCAAAGCCCTACGAGGACGACTTGATGAGGTGTTACTTCTCGGGCAAACTGCAGGATAATATCTGCCTCGTGCTTTTCTTCCTGACCATGTGTCAGCGCCACGGTCAACACTGGACAGGTCTCATCATGACCCTAGCCCCGATAGTCTCCATGACTTGTCATATCACATGGGCTCTGCCATGCCGTCCATCACTATCCATTCGATGCTGAGATGATCTCTCCAATGCTGAAGTGATATTTTCCCCAACCACCTGCTGACACCTATAAAGAGGATGCTGACACCCATAAAGAGGATACTGACACAACCATCAGACCATACCTCACCATCACTATTTCGTACTCGGCCAAAGTATCCGATCTGCCCTTCTCCCACAATATAAATACATGTATTATTCTTCTTTAATGAG